AATGGATGTTGGCAATTTGATCTCTGATTCCTCTGCCTTTTCTCAATCTAGCTTGAACATCTGGAAGTTCTCGCTTCGCGTACTATTTTTTTAGTTCCCTGAAAAAAAAAACCCAATAGATAGGTCCTAACACAAATTGGTCATTATTCATTAACAAGGGAGAAGTAATTTGATGTGTGGAATATAGTAATAAATACTCTGCTGTGAAGTATGTATTCATTATTCTTCATATAAAAGATAGTTAATTCTATCATTCAATATAAAGTTGCAATGTTCATTTTGAAATACACAAAATTCATTCTATGCATCTCTTCTTTGTATTTCAAGTGCAGAGAAAAATCAAACTAGGAATTCCCATAAATACTAAATAACAAATGATACATATTTTTTTAATGGGGCATATTTTTCCTTGTTAGCCTTTGAGTGTGTATGTGTGTGCTCGGTGCCCAGTCCTGTCTGACTGTGGTCCCATGGACTGTAGCCCACTAGGCTCCTCTGTCCATGGAATTTTCCAAGTAAGAATACTGGAGCACATTGCCATTTCATACTCCAGGGGATCTTCCTGTTTTTCCTTGCTTATTTTAAATATGACAATAAATCATATAAGAGTAACTGGGAAAATAGGCAGCAAGAGGGCATTTTTACAATCTCAAAGATAAATAGAAAAGAAAATTAACAGTTCAAATTTCAGCCACTTACAAATGATGTTTCAAAACTACCCCTAGGTGACAATCAGATCTACATTTCATCACAATGTACTTGCTCCATCAGTTATAAGCACACCAAATCACAAAGTAGTTTGGTAGAATCTTAAGTTGGCATATAAGTCACTGAGAAACACGAAAGATTCAGAAAAATTAATAACTAATGAGTGACAAATGAGAGGCTTATAATTTTAACAGAAAATATTAAAACCATGGAAGACCTTTCAAAATTATTTGGGAGGCAAGACTTTTTGCCTTTAATACTATCCCAATAGTTGACTAGATAACATAACAGTAATCAGCTACAGCTTTCCTTTATTCATCACCTTAAATCACATTTTACTCTTCCCTGATACTAAAAAAAAAAGATTCTTATTTGCTAACCATTTATATTTGCAGGTGCCTTTGCAGGCTCCACTGCTATATAACTCATGAAACAACTTTGTCCGCTGCTTTCTGAAAGATGCTGTTACTTGGAAGATTCTCCTTAGCCAAATGAGAATTCATTAGCCAAAACTTTACAGGCTATGCAGGCATAAATACCAAAGTGGTAACACCGGGTCCCTGTGCAGGGGCAAATGCGTCTTAAAGGATGCCATGACACTGCCATGCTTGTGGCCATCCAGAATCTTTGCCTGCGTTTCATGTCTTCCAGAATTTTGCCACATTACAAAACTGGAGCCAGAACGCACTCTCCTGGCTTCCTTAGTTTGGCAATGGTATCTAATGTCCACCAACCAATTGCATCCATACACGACTTCACTTCAGAAATAGCCATGTGAGGGAGCAAATGAAGAAACTCATCTCTTTTGATGTGAGAAGTGGTCAAGATCCATCTTTCAGGGCAAAACTGTGATGGTACTTGTCACATCCAGTCCCCAGTGTGACTGGTAAAAGCTGTGAGGTCCGCGTGATGACTTGTGGAGCAGTTCCCTATTCACCTGATATATTTGGATGTCCTGTAAATTCTGTGGGCTCCCAAATGTCTTTGAATACTTTTTCTTCTGCTGATGTTAGCTGGAGAGTGGACTCTGGTTTACAACTAAGAATTCTTTATCATACAAAAATTTGGACTAAGAAAACTATGGTTTTATCAGCGTGATAGTAGAATGATTACCAATTCAATAATAGACTCAACAGTTATCTACAGAAACCCTGTCACAAGTGTGCTTCTGTGCTAGAGGCTATGTTGTGCTTCGTCGCTCAGTCGTGTCCAGCTCTTTGTGACCCCACGGAATCCATGGGGATTCTCCAGGCAAGGGTATTGGAGTGGGTTGTCACATCCTCCTCCAGGGGATCTTCCCAACCCGGGGATCAAACCCAGGTCTCCCACATTGCAGGCAGATTCTTTACCATCTGAGCCACCAGGGAAGCCCAGAGGTGTACAGGAGGAAATAAAAATACCACAAGATGAGGACAAAGTTAATATATGGATATACAGATACAAAATAAAATTAAAAGAAATTTAGAAGATACAGAGGTATCTGGGTAGTTACTACAAAAATACAATAATATACTGCATAGACAGCTAAGGATGAGAAATGTTTATCAAGGTATTAAAATGTCCATGGGGTTTGGGGCAAATCTCTCATGCTGCCAAAGAAATTAAATAAACCTTTATAACTACTACAATAAAAGTCAGTTATGAAAGAGGAAATATTTGCAAATCATATAGCTCATAAAAGATTAATATCCAGAATATATACAGAATTCACACAACAGAAAAAGATCCAATTCCAAAATAAGCAAAGGACTTAAATAGACATTTCTCCAAAGAAGATACACAAGTGGCCAATAAGAACATGAAAAAATGTTCAACTTCTTTCTCTATTAGGGAAAATGTAAATCAAAACCACAATGGGATATTTTTTCATACCCATCAGGATGCCTATTATCAAAAAAAAAAAAAAAAGAAATCAAAGGAATAACAAGTCAAGGACGTGTAGATAAAGAGAATGGAACCTTCAGACACTGTGCTTGGGAATATAAAACTGTGCAGTCACTATGGAAAATAATTTAGTGGTTCCTCAAAAAGTTAAAACACAGAATTACCATATGATCCAGCAATTCTGCTCCTGAGTAAATAAATATTCAAAAGAACTGAAAACAAGAACACAAACAGATACATATATACCAATGTTTATAGCACTATTCTTCACAATAATAGTCCACAAGTGGAAACAGCCCACATGCCCATCAACAGATGAATGGATAAACAAAATATGGTATATGCATGTAGTGGAATATTATTCAGCTGTAAAAAGGAATGAAGTACTGACATACACTAAAACATGGATGCACCTTGGAAACACTACAGTAAGTGAAATACATTAGCTATAAAAGGACAGATATTTATAATTACACTTTTATGAGCTATCTAGGATAGACAAATCAGAAGAGACAAAGTATAATAGTGGTTACCAGGTGCTGGAGGAAAGGAGATGGGAGTTGTCATTTAATGTACAGTTTCCACGTGTGATGATGAAAAAGTTCTGGAAACAGAAAGTGCTGATGGCTGCACAGCATTGGAAAGATAGTACTTAATGCCACTGAACTGCACGCTTAAAGATGGGTAAATGGCACATTTTATGTTACGTATATTTTACTGCAATTAAATCAGCTATAACCTGTATCTAGAAAACTGTCAAAATTTAAATTCCATCTTATTCCTGTTGGCTGCTTCTTATTGTTATTTAAGATGTAGATTCAATTAATGGATCTAAACAGAAAAAAATGGCAGCATTGTATGGTTAACAGGTGGGGTCAGGAGATCTAGGTTATAATACTGACTCTACCTCTAACTAGCTTATTATATACTTAAAACAGGGCCTGACATATAAAAAGTCCTTAGTAATTGTTGCAGTTAACCACCACTGTTACTAGTTTGCATTATTATATATTAATAAAAACCTCATGGAAAACAGCAACATATTTTATTACAGAAAAATTTTAAACTTTAGTACATCAAATCAGTGAATGTTGGAAGACAAGAAGCAATATTCGTAATACGCCAACCTCAGGTCAAAAGATGATGGAGCATCAGGTAGAGAGGCCACAGGAGGGGTACTGGGGATCACAGGGTCAGCAGAGGGAGGCTGTTCTGCAGCAGCCACATGTTAACTGAGCTGTGGAAGACAAAATGCAGCTGCAGCGTGGGCCTGCGGTTAGGGCACTTGGGTGGAGACGAAAGCAAAAGCTAAGGCCAGAGCATAAGGGGAATTCTGAAGGTCTGAGGAACAAAGAGAAAGAAGAACTTCAAGTCTGGAAAAGAGAAGCAGGCCAGAGTGGCATATAAGGCTGAAGAGGTGGACAGAGGCTAGATCTCACAGGCCTTCTATGAAGAGGGGACTGATTCTAACCTCAGAGGGAGACCACTGACCCCAGGGAGTGACACCACCCAGCTTACCAGGTAAGAGATCACTTTGTTACCAAACGGAGAAAGGATGGTTCAGGGAAGCAGAGTGGAAGCAAGCAGGGGAAGCGTTGGGAAACTATTTTAATAATTTAAGTGAGAGATGAAATAACTTAGATTTGGGATGGTAGCAGTAGTAATAGAAATACGTATAGACAAATTCAGGTTGCAATGGCTAGTAGGAGGGAAAATATCAAATTATTTCATTAACCCCTAAAAAACACAAATTATACAACTTCCCCTAACAAATTCACAAAGGTTAAAAATGGGTAACACAAATCCTGAGGAAAATGTAGTTGAAGGAGGCACTCAAATCCTCTGAAAAGCAACCTGTTATATCACCAAAAGTCTAAAAATTCTCAGTATTTTTGACTTAGCAACTAGCACATATTCAATCTTTCATCAATTAATTTGACTTCTAGAAAACATGCTAAAGAGAAAACCAAGATTAATGCTCAATAATTAATTGCAGCACATTTAAACTTGCAAAAAAGGGGGGGGGTGGATTAACATCCAACATTTAAGGAGTGGCTGAATTACAGCACTAAATAACCTCTAAGGGGCTTCAAAGATAGGCGGGTAAAATGCTGACAATCTTAGAAAATTAACTAAGAGCACAAGTAACGCTAGTTTTGTTTTCCTGCTGGTAAGTTCTGTTACTTTACATAAAGAACTGAACACAGAGAGCCATCAAATAACTGGTAATAAAAATTTAATAATCACTAATCTCTTCGAGAGACTTCCCTGGTGGCTCAGAGGGTAAAGCTTCTGTCTACAATGCGGGAGACCCGGATTCAATCCCTGGGTGGGGAAGATCTCCTGGAGAAGGAAATGGCAACCCACTCCAGTATCTCAAACTCAATATATATGCTTAGAAAACTTACGCGCTCAACTTAAGACATGCTGTCCGTATCTTATAGTATTAGTCTCATGTCACCCTTGGTACTTAAAAAAGGAAGTAGGGAGGTTTCAGTTTTGTGGTTGTCATGGTAATTTAAGAATAAACATACACGTTCCATGTCTATTTGTCACTCTACAACTCCAGTGCCTAACATAGAACCCAGAACTGAAGAGGGGCAAACAGCCAAAATGAACCTTGCAATTCCAACTTAGCACCAAACAAATCTAAAACCTCAAAATGCAAGAGGTACATGAGGACAATATTTATAATATTTGAGTGGTTACAATGTACCAGGCATTATTAAACATTTTAACCACTTTTTATTTAATGCTCATAACGTTTCATGTCTGAAAGAAATACTTGTCACATTGTAAAACCAAGACACAGGTTCAAAAACGTTAAGGTCACGTTTCAACGAAGTTTGAACTCAGCTCTTCCGGCGCCTAAATGTATCTAGACCAGAAGTAACAAGATGTTTCTTTTCAGCCATCAGAACTGACTAGGATTGTTTTCTCCAGGCTTCCCGTGCGGTTCTACTTCATGTTCACTAACTTCTACCCCGCGCGGCAATTATCACTTGGAAGATCCAAGTCCTCACCAGCAGGACCCTGCCCAGCGTCCTCCCCTCCCCGCTGGGAATTCCTCGAGGGTCAAGGACCGAGTTTCCAGGCCTCTGGGTGACAGCCTCACTCAGAATTGGGGTTTGGCACAGGGCGGGGGGCTCGCCACTCCCGCTCTGTGGGCACCATTTTGGTTCGACTTTACAGCCAAGCCTTGCGGATCAGGACTCCCAGCAGGTACCCCTCCCGCCCTTCGGACCCGGCGGAGGAAGGGAGTCTCCTCGCCAAGGGACAGCTAGGGCGCCGCGCGGGCGGTTTCCAAGACAACCGAGCAACTCCCCCGCCCCCTCCCCCACAGACGTTTCCCCTCCAATCTCCGCCCCTAGTGCCTCAGCGCTCCGCCCCGCCCTAAAGCCCGAACTCTGAGCAGCTCCGACTCGCAGATGGAAGTGGCGCCCGTGCCCTCTCACCTCTGAGAGCCTGGTGCATGCCCCCAATTCCGCTGTAGAGCTCCAGGACCCGCAAGGGCTCCATTCCCGCGCCGCCACCGCCTCCTCCTTGGAGCTAGGCCTGCCGGTCCCGTGGCTCCTCCTTCCCCCCGGCCCCGCCGCTCCCTCATCTCTGGTACCGCGGCTTTTTAGTTCCCGCCTCCTTAGGCTCTGGCTCAGGTCTTCACAGAGCAGCCTTGGGGCTCCGGGACTGGCAAGGCTAGGCAGGTGGACAAGGGACAGAAAGCACCAAGGCCTCCCAAGAGAATAGGGACCACCCCATGGCTTGATTTACTCTCCATCTTCCTTCTAAAGTGCCTTGAGAGGGAGAAAGAAAATCCTGGACCCAGCAGATGGCCTGTGCCTCAAAGTCAATTAACAGAGGTTAGAATCCACACTCACTCACGTTTCAGGCTTGCTGCTTTTCCGTCCCTTAAAAGCCAGAAGCGTCCAAACCTTTCTTCCATTAGGCTTGAACATGTACCTCATGTTGGGCCTTAGCTTGAGTGATGGAACTAAATCAGCCTCTTAGCCAGAGAAGGTCCGAGAGTTACAGGGGCAGAAACCAGCGCAGGTGCCCCAGAGGTCCCCCGTGAGCTAATATAGGGGAGCCCTGGGGCAAGCTATTTTAACTTGGAAAATACCCCCAAGATAGGAACTGCTGTTAATGTAAAAAAGAACTATTTAAGTCATCGAATGCAATTTCACATGCCTGATGCACAGTATCAGAGTCTGGAGCAGAGAAAGGTTTATTGCAGGGTGAAGCAAAGCAAACAGGTGGCGCATGCTCAAAAACCCAGAACTCTCCTAAGGGTTTCAGTGAAGCAGTTTTAAAGGCTAGGTAAGGGCCGGGCAGCATTCTCAGATTGTTTGATGGTGGTCAGTCTTTAGGTGCTAGGTCTGGAGCTAGTGCTCAGCATCATCAAGTAGTTACTTTCTTCCACTTGGTGATAGTTTCAGGATCTGAAAAACTCAGACAATATACATCAGATACTAATCATCTGGGTTCTTCAGAGAGGAGCTAAAGCAGAGGCTATGGAGGAAGAGGTCTAATCCAGGAGGGCCTTATAGGGTCCTGTTCCCTTCAAGTGCTGTGGCCTTCCTTCTCCAAGATGATCTAATCACCAAATTGTTAGAAGCTCAATTACAAACTAAGAAAACACAGTCATTGGGAGGAGCAGAAATGGTCTCATTGTGAAGTGTTTTTCTATTTTTCCCTTTACCACCGAATGTTATTTATTTATTTATTTTTGGCCATGCCATAAGGCATGTGGGATCTAAGTTCCCCAACCAGGGATCAAACCTGTGCCCCCTGCATTAGAAACGCAAATTTCTAACCACTGGACTGCCAGAGAAGTCCCACGCACGTTCAATATTGTTAGGAGAAATTGAGTTGTACTAATGGCTTCCCTGTGTCTTCCCCCAGGTCTGAAGGTGTCCAATATGCTACTGGGGAAGAATGAGCACAACTATGAACAGCTCAGAAAAGAATGAAGCTGCTGGACCAAAGTAGGAACAACACTCATGTTATGGATGTCTCTGGTGTTGAAAGTAAAGTCCAATGCTGTAAAGAACAGTATTGCATAGGAACCTGGAATGTTAGGTCCATGCAGCCACATAAACTGAACATAGTCAAGCAGGAAATGACAAGAGTGAACATTGACATCCTAGGAATCAGTGAATTACGATGGACAGGAAAGGACCAGTTTAATTCAGGTGACCATTATATCTACTACTGTGGGCAAGAAACCCTTAGAAGAAGTGGAGTAGCCATCATAGTCAACAAAAGAGTCCAAAATTCAGTAATTAACTGCAATTTCAAAAATGACAGAATGATCTCGGTTCGTTTCCAAGGCAAACCATTCAATATCACAGTAATTCAAGTCTACGCACCCACCACTAAAGCCACTAAAGCCAAAGAAGATGAAGTTGAACAGTTCTATGAAGACCTACACCACCTTCTAGAACTAACACCAAAAAAAGATGTCCTTTTCATCATAGGGGATTGGAATGCAAAAGTAGGAAGTCAAGAGATACCTGGAATAACAGGCAAGTTTGGCCTGGGAGAACAAAATGAAGCAGGGCAAAGGCTAATAGAGTTTTGTCAAGAGAATGCACTGGTCATAGCAAACACCCTTTTCCAACAGCACAAGAGACGACTCTACACATGGACATCACCAGATGGACAACACCGAAATCAGATTGATTATATTCTTTGCAGCCAAAGATGGAAAAGCTCTATGCAGTCAGCAAAAACAAGACCAGGAGCTGCCTGTGGCTCAGATCATAAGCTCCTTATTGCAAAATTCAGGCTTAAATTGAAGAAAGTAGGGAAAACCACTAGGCCATCCAGGTATAACATAAGTCAAATCCCTTATGATTATACAGTGGAGGTGACTAAAAGTTTCAAGGGATTAGATCTGATAGACAGAGTGCCTGAAGAACTATGGATAGAAGTTCGTAAGATTGTACGGGAGGCAGTGACAAAAAACTTCCCAAAGGAAAAGAAATTCAAGAAGGCAAAGTGGTTGTCTAACAAGGCCTTACAAATAGCTGAGAAAAGAAGAGAAGCTAAAGGCAAAGGAGAAAAGGGAAGCTATACCCAACTGAATGCAGAGTTCCAGAGAATAGCGAGGAGAGATAAGAAGGCCTACTTAAATGAACAGTGCAAAGAAATAGAGGAAAACAATAGAAAGGGAAAGACTAGAGATCTCTTCAAGAAAATTGGAGCTATCAAGGAAGCATTTCATGCAAGGATGGACACAATAAATGACAGAAACGGTAAAGACCTAAGAGAAGCAGAACAGATTAAGAAGAGGTGGCAAGAATACACTGAAGAACTATACAAAAAAGGTCTTAATGATCCAGATAACCAAGATGGTGTGGTCACTCACCTAGAACCAGACATTCTGGACTGTGAAGTCAAGTGGGCCCTAGGAAACATTACTACAAACAAAGCTAGTGGAGATGATGGAATTCCGGTTGAACTATTTCAAATCCTTAAAGATGATGCTGTGAAAGTGCTGCATGCAATATGTCAGCAAATCTGGAAAACTCAGCAGTGGCCACAGGACTGGAAAAGGTCAGTTTTCATTCCAATCCCAAAGAAGCACAATGCCAAAGAGTGCTCAGACTACCGTATTGTTGCGCTCATTTCACATGCTAGCAAGGTTATGCTCAAAATCCTTCAAGCTAGGCTTCAGCAGTACATGAATCAAGAACTTCCAGATGTACAAGCTGGGTTTAGAAAAGGCAGAGGAACCAGAGATCAAATTGCCAACATTCGTTGGATCATGGAGAAAGCAAGGGAGTTCCAGAAAGACATCTACTTTTGCTTCATTGACTATGCTAAAACCCTTGACTCTATGGATCACAACAAACTGTGGAAAATTCTGAAAGAGATGGGAATACCAGATCACCTTACCTGTCTCCTGAGAAACCTGTATGCAGGTCAAGAAGCAACAGTTAGAACCAGACATGGAACAACAGACTGGTTCCAAATTGGGAAAGGAGTACGTCAAGGCTGTATATTGTCACCCTGCTTATTTAACTTATGTGCAGAGTACATCATGAGAAACGCTGGGCTGGAAGAAGCACAAGCTGGAATAAAGATTGCTGGGAGAAATATCAACAACCTCAGATATGCAGATGACACCATCCTAATGGCAGAAAGTGAAGAGGAACTAAAGAGCCTCTTGATGAGGGTGAAAGAGGAGAGTGAAAAAGCTGGCCTGAAACTCAACATTAAAAAAACTAAGATCATGGCATCTGGTCCCATCACTTCGTGGGAAATAGACGGAGGAAAAGTAGAAGCAGTGACCGATTTTATTTTCTTGGGCTCCAAAATCACTGCAGATGGTGATTGCAGCCATGAAATTAAACGACGCTTGCTCCTTGGAAGGAAAGCTATGACAAACCTAGACAGAATATTAAAAAGCAGAGACATCACTTTGCCAACAAAGATCCGTCTAGTCCAAGCTATGGTTTTTCCAGTAGTCATGTATGGGTGTGAGAGTTGGACCATAAAGAAGGCTGAGCGCCACAGAATTGATGCTTTTGAACTGTGGTGCTGGAGAAGACTCTTGAGAGTCCCTTGGACTGCAAGGATATCAAACGAGTCAATCCTAAAGGAAATCAACCCTGAATATTCATTGGCAGGACTGATGCTGAAGCTGAAACTCCAATACTTTGGCCATGTGATGCGAAGAGCTAACTCATTGGAAAAGACCCTGATGTTGGGAAAGATTGAAGGCAAGAGAAGAAGGGGGCGACAGAGAATGAGATGGTTAGATAGCATCACTGACTCAATGGACATGAGTTTGAGCAAACTCAGAGAGATAGTGGAGGACAGAAGAGCCTGGCGTGCTGCAGTCCATGCAGTTGCAAAGAGTCAGACGTGACTTAATAACTCATATACAGAAATAAAAACTGGTGGCTCAGTGGTAAAGAATCTGCCTGCCAATTCAGGAGACACAGGCTAGATCG